CCCCCCCCCAGAAGCCCTGACTTGGTAGAGTAGAGGGTACAGTTTGGGGTCTGGAGTAAGATGGTCTTGGGTGACCTAGGAAGGTGGGTCTCGTCTTGTGAGCCACAGTTAATAGTAAAATGGTCATGGGTAGTGCCTACCGTTGGAGCTGTGGGAAGACTCCAGGGACAATGTGCTGGCAATTCCTTCAGCACAGTGCAGGGGCTGTGGAAAAGGTGATTGATATGCTATTACTCTGTAGACATGGATGTGGGCAAGACACAGAACCTGCCACAAGGGCTTACAGCTAAGAGGGACATGGAGGGGAACGATGTCAACGAGCATTAAGCATGAGGGAGTGAGTGCTGCCTCGGAGGCCATGAGCAGCAAGCTGGGACCCATGGAGGGAGGAGCCACCCCCACTCACCACCTCTTGATGTCTGTTTTCTCGTTAGGCCACAGCCTCCCTCGAAGACACCCAAGATCCCCAAGATTTACACCAAAACAGGAGACAAAGGTAGGGTGGGGAAGGTGAAAAATGCAGAGACACGGCAGGCTCCATTTTACAGTTCTTTCAAATTCTTTGCAGCCATTAAAAAGTGTGTGGCAGCCCTGGCTCAGTTATTACACTTGAAATAGACATTTTTCTAAAAAGTGCATATCGGCGAAAAAATCTAATTTTTGGCAGCTGAACATTTTTTCCCCCACAGGGTTTTCTAGCACCTTCACTGGAGAAAGGAGGCCCAAAGACGACCAGGTGTTCGAAGCCTTGGGAACTACAGATGAATTAAGTTCAGCCATTGGGTAAGGGAGATGGACTTGGTCTGGAGGCAGAGTGTGAGTTGGGCAGCAGTACAGGTGATCAACACGAAGCCTGTGCGACTGCTGGCTAGTCTGGAGGTTGCCACCCCTTGACGAACCTGCCTCGGCCTGGAAGCAGAGGCATCTGGCCAGTGCCACAGGCTGCCGGGCTCAGCGCCTTCCCTCAGTCCCACACCGTGGGAAGCTGCCCTGCCCGCTGCCCCGGCTCCCTCACTCTTCCCGTGAGAACGTGTGTGCCATTGAGGTGCACATGTTAAGTGAAAGAAGTGAGTTGAGCCCAGTACACAGCGCATTGGATGTGGTCCCTTTGGTGAGCGTATACACAGCCAGGGTTTAGAGGTGGACTCGGAGTTAGTCAGGATTAGCCAGGTCATGCTGTGATAACAGCAACCCCCAAACCTCATGATTCACAGCACCAAAGTATTCCGTGCTCTCCCATCAAGCCCATCACAGGCTGGGCGTGTTTCTGTTCCACAAGATGCCACTCTGGGACCTGGGCTGGCGGGACAGCCTCTGTCCAGGACAGCACCAGGCGTTGTGGCAGAGGGAACAGTGATCACACTACAGCTCACACTGGCTCGGAAGTGACACATCACTTCTGCTCGCATTTCTCTGGTCAGAGCCAGTCACGTGGACATGCCTGACTGCAGTGCAGTGGGAGGGGCAGCACGTAATTGATGACAATTGTCCAGTCCACCAAGCCCAGCCAGCTGCTGACAGGGTGAGGGGCATTTATCTCACGTGCTGCTTTAGGAGCTCTGTGGGTGACGGTCGTGGGAACCAGACAGACCTGGCTTCAGATTCTCTACTGCTGCTGACTGGCTGTGTTGCTTCAGGCAAATCACCTGGCCTCTCTGAGCCTGTTTCCTGTTCTGTCCAATGATCATAGTAATGGCTGCCATCTAACTAGGTTCTGGTCAGGATTGAATAAGATAATTTCATGTTCACCCTAAGACAGTGCCTGGTGCAAGTAATAGCAATGCCAGTGGGTATTTTTATTAAAACTTCCCTGTTTGTGGCTTCCATTTCTCAAGGATGGGCCTGACCAGGTGAGACCTTTGGGACAGATAATGGGAGGTGTAGGTGGTCTTCCAGGAACGTAGAGAAGGCAGACCCCATGGTGTGGGGGGTGGTGGGGGGCAGGCAGACACCAGATGATGTGGGCAGAGGGGAGGGAAGGCGAATCCTAGCATCAGTTACTTAGAATCAGCAAATGGCAAGCCCTCACTTTTGGGTGATGTCGGGCAGGAGACTGGCGAAGCCTCGTGTGGAAGCTCCTGTGTCAGCGCACCTCTGTGTGCCAGGCGCTGCTGAGCTGGGAGCCCCGGCCCTGCTTCGTGGGGCTCTCAGTCTGGTGGGGCAGGGGTGGGGCAAGACAGACACCAGAGGGGTGACCACAAGTGGTGGGAGCTGGGATGGGGCGAGCACCGAGGGGGGGCCTACAGCTGGCCGACATCTGGAGAACACCCCCAGGGAGCACCTGCCACGTGCCAAGCCTGAGGCAATGCTGTGCTGGACAGAAGGTGTCCCAGCCTGGCTCGCCCTCCGTGCACCCAGCGGGGAGGACCAGCCTGGTCGCTGATTACACGTGTGCTTGGTTCTAACGGGAAGCGGGCTGGGGAGATGCCCCGGTGGTCCTGCTTGCCCTCCCAAAGCCATTCTCTTCGCCTCTGTGCCCGGGCGAGGCTGACCTTTATCACCTGGTGGTGGTTTTATGCTGATTCCTCTGTCCTCTGGCTTCCAGGTGGGCCCGGCCAGTGGGAGGCACCGCGGGAGCCGTGAGGGGTCGAGAGGTGCGGGTGTTGCCCGGCTCCAGTTGCAGGTGGTCTGGTGGTAGCTGGGCTCCCGCCTACTCTCTCCCGCTGTGTGGCTCCTGGTGGCGGCCCCCACCGAGGAGCAGCTCTCCCCAGGCTCCGGGGCACCTTTGACCCTCCCTGGTCCCCTCAGGCTTCGGCTCTTGCCGATCTTTGCCTCTGTTGGCAGTTTCCATGACTCGTCCCATGCCCTGTTAGCCACCCCTTTGCACAGCTTTTCTCTGGGAACCCTTCGAAAGCACCACTGTCTGTCCCCTGCCAGGACCCTGATGGCACAGAAGTGGAGGGCAGAGTCCCAGGGAGGCCAGTGCCTGACCTGCCCTGGGCACCTTCCTTCCCCGACCCACTCCTTCCCAGGAAACTCCTATTCGGCCTTTAAAGTCCCACCTGCAGCATCGCTTCCTCCAGGAAGCCCTCCCTGAGCCCTAGCCAAGGCCAGGTTTTCCAGGAATCAAGCCCTTTCCTTCAGAGCACTGGCCTCAGTTTGCAAGTTCACCTTCAGTCATGTGATAGTCAGTCCGTGTCTTCCCCTCCTTCTGCATAGAGCTCACCAGGGAATCGCCTGGACCTGGCCAGAGTAGGCACTGAACAGGACTTGTTGACTGGATGAGTCATGGGTATAAGAAAAGGCGTTTTGAGAAACAAATACCTTTAACCAAGTGGAAGGTTATAAGGTTCTTATTGCCAGCAAGAAGTAGCACTGAGGCTATCATAGCCGAGTTAGCTGAATGGTCCGTCACCTAAGAACCATGGCTTTACAGCAGAGCAGGGCCTGGGATGTTATGTTAGAGGCAGATTCCTTTTCCTTTTCTCTCATAGGTTTGCTATGGAATTAATTGCGGAAAAGGGCCACCCGTTTGCTGAGGAGCTTGAGAAGGTGAGTAACAATTCTTGTTTATCCCTGAGGCCTGGTGACCGTAACTGGATTTGGCATTTGATCATCGCTTCCTCTCTGTGTCACCTGGGACAGTCACTCTTCCTCTGAGCCTCAGTTTCTCCATCTGTAAAATGGGGACACCCAGATAATCCTCCCTCCCAGGCAAGTGGTGAGGATTGCTCCAAGAGAAGGAAATGTAAAGGGTTGTCCCTGGTCTCTGCCCCCCAGGGACATTTGACAATATCTGGAGACATGGTTGCTTGTCACAGCTGGAGGCGGAGGTCCTGGCATCTAGTGGGTGGAGGCCTGGGATGCCGCATGCAGCCTGCAGTGCACATGACAGCCTCCAAAACCGCCCAGGATCGGGGCGAGGAGATTCCTCTTGGCCGTCACTGGGCGCTCGATGCTCATTGTCTTCCTAACCCAGCTGTCCCCACGGGAGCCAGGTCTGCTCTCCACGGGGCTGGCGTCCAGCACGCTGAAAGTTCAGGCAGTTTGCTAATTAGCCTTTCAGTGCTGCTGATTAAAGCTCTGACAACCCCCACCAGGCCAGCCGCATGCCTTGCTGTCAGTTGGCACCTTTGCACGGGGAGCCAGGAGTCAGGATAGATCTTCACTCGAGCCTTCTGTTGCTTCCCCAGATCCAGTGCTCCCTGCAGGACGTTGGCTCCGCCCTGGCGACACCCCGCTCCTCCGCCCGGGAGACTCACTTAAGTAATTTGCTCTCTGAGCCGCAGTGTGTTCTGGGAGGGCCCTGCGGGGGTTGGACTGAGGGGGGACTTTCCTGGGTGTCACGTGGGACCCCGTCAGCCTGGCCCGCAGACCCTGAGAGGGTCGTGGGAGTGGTTTGGAAGGCACCGGGCGGTTTTCTCGATGCTCACGGTTTCCTCATGGCCGTGTCCTACTCCTTGGCCCCTCAGGACGCACCACATTTGAGTCGGGGCGCGTCCTGGAGCTGGAGCAGTGGATCGACAAGTACTCCGGCCAGCTCCCCCCTCTCACGGCTTTCATTCTGCCTGTAGGTACTGGGCAGCCTCCACCTGGGGTGGCTGCAGGCCACGTTCCCCTCTCCAATATTTCACAGTGACAGCTGCCCTCCACGTCCCCTGCCCTCCCAACCCTGTCCTCTCCGAAGGGGTGCCCAGGGGTGTGCCCCGGCGGGGCCCTCTGCATGCAGAACACTGCGTGCTGGGGGCAGGGCCCACCCTCCGTGTGAGGAGCTCTCTGTCTTACCCGTCCACCCATCCCTCCATCCAACGCCCGCTTTCTCCTTCCAGTCGGGCGGCAAGAGCAGCGCTGCACTGCACTTCTGTCGGGCCGTGTGCCGGCGGGCTGAGAGACGGTGAGGGCCCGGGCAGAGGGGGCCGGAGGCAGGCGGGAGGGGGGGTCACCTCTGTGTGGTCCAGCCACCACAGCAGACCTCCTGGTCTGCCCGTCGTTGGTGGTCAGCAGACAGCGGCCCACTGTCTAGAATGTCCACGTAGACCGGCAAGGACCCCAGGTCACGCTGCGGTGGCCGTGACTGCTGGCGGGGATGGAGCCCTGGGCCCTGCAGTGTGCTGATCCTGTGACATTGATCCCGTGTGATGCAGTGACTCCTCCCTTTCCAGCGTGGCGCCTCTTGTCCAGATGGGTGAGACGGATGCAAACGTGGCCAAGTTCTTAAACAGGTACTTACATTGAAACTGGAGATCTCTGACAAATGCGACATGATGGGAAGTAGCAACAACGGACAGGCCTCACTCATTCACTTCATATTCAGTGAGGGCGTGCTGTGCCCAGCACTGAGCCGGGCACGAGCTGCAGCAGAGAACAAGGGGGTACCATCCCTGTCCCCAGTGAGGTGAAGGTCTTGTGGGGAGAAGCTGCTATAACGACCAGCGAAGAAGAACTTCGGAACAAATGGACAGTGCGGTGACAAGGGGCCTGCTTTGTTCTGCTGTGACAGGCGTCATGGTGGGGCCCAGGCAGGAGAGAGACCTTCTCACAGCCGGTCTTCCCCCGGCGAGGCCCCTGGGCAGTGTGAGTGGAGGACACAGCCAGGCAAAGCGAGCTCAGGACCGTCCGGCTTAGGGCCCCAGCACAGGGCCCGAATCACTGGCTGGGCCAGGGAGGCCCCTGTGGCCCCGCCCTCAGCCTCGCCGCCAGGGCCACAGCTGGCCCAAGGCCTTCTCCACTGGGTTCTGCTCCAGCATTGGCTCGTGCAGTTCTAGGGGGGGCAAGGCCAGGCCCTGGGGCCGGCCAAGCGATGGGGACCCCTGGGAGCCGTTCTGCATGTCCAGAAAATGGCCTTAGCCAGGATCTGGAGTGACCCCTTATTGTGGCCCACCCCTCCCACAGGGACACGGCCCAGGCTTTGATGGGTTCTGACCAACTCGTTTCCTCCTGTGAGGGGAGAGGAATGTTGCATTCTTGGGCACAGCCGAGACTCCTTGGGGGCGCTCTTGCACTGGAAAGGAACCGGGAATGAGGGGGGTCAGCCCTGGCACGGCCTGGAATGTGTGGGTTCTTGACTTTGTGCCGGTCCTCAGCCCAGCAGTGTCTGCGTCACCTGGCGTGGGTTAGACCTGCAGAACCGCAGGCCTGGCCAGCTCCCCCAAATGAGAATCTGCAGGTTGTCAGGATCCCTAAGGACTCGTGTGCATGTTAGTTTGAGAGGCACTAGTCCTGGTCACTGGACGGTGCAGAAAGCAGTTGAGACTGGCCCAAGGTCACCAGCCTCTGAGGTTGGGCAGGGGTAGCGGCCTTGTCCCCTAGGAACCCCCCAGCCCTGACGCCAGAGTCGGGCACGTGGCTCTCCCAGTGCCATCCGTCAGGCCCAGGTTGGCCGCTGCTCTTCATCCCACCCGGTGCTGCCGGGGCACATGACTGATTTCCTTCTTGAAGGCTAATGTGGGAAGGACCCAGTTAGCATCGATTGCCCCTTTCAGATCATTCCGTCTGCTTCTCTCTGTCCCTGCAGACTCAGCGACTATCTCTTCACGCTAGCCAGGTATGCAGCCATGAAGGAGGGGAATCAAGAGAAAATATACAAGAAAAGTGACCCTTCGGACTGAACCCGAGGCGCTTGGGAACAATGGAAAGGGGAGCCTTGTGGACCCTCCGGGGTGGCCACCAGGGAAGAGGAGTTTGCCTTGTCCTGGTTCCCGAAGGCCTCGCCTCAGGGCTGGACCAGGGTCTTTTGTCCGTGCTCAGCTGCCTCCAGACCCCCTGCCACTGCCCTCGGGGGCAGCGGCTGCTGGAGAAATCTGCCCGCCAGGCTCTCCTTGGTCTTCTCGGGACTGGGTTCACCTGCAGAAAGGAGGGCGAAGTGATTGCTGTAATGAGAAGGACGCACATAAAGAATAAAAGTGGGAAAGGCTTGAACCGAGTGTGTGTGAGAGTGGGAGGGAGGAAGCGAGCATGAGAGAGCCCTTCCACGTCAACTCTGCGCGTCCAAGGACTGGGAGTGGCCCCAGAGGCCCCTGGGCTGTCCCCAAGCGTGAGAGCCCTTCCTCGCGTCCAAGCTGGGAGTGGCCCCAGAGGCCCCTGGGCTGTCCCTGACTTACTGTGCCCATTTGTAAAGGGGAGGCAGACCGGTGGAAGCGGAGTCGCCGGGAGCCACCCGGCACCGCCTCCATCAGGGGAAGGGCTGCTGCAGAGTGACAGGTGAGGCCTGGGAGCCACTCACCGTGGGCCCACGTGTGCGTGGCGGGGTGCAGCCTGCAGATGCTCTCCCAGGGGACCCTTCCCCCATCCAGGGGTGAAGACTGGCGAGAGAAACACCACCGCTTAAAGGAAGGCATCCTGCCCAGGCAGATGGTGTCAAGGGCTGAGGGAACATTCTCAGCTCAAGACAGTAAGGCCTTCCGCTTCCGGTGAGGCCGGCACAGGCGGACGTGGCCCCTGATGCGCTTGGCTGGTGTATGCTCAGATCCAGGCGTGGCTGTGCTTTATTCCACCTGTCACCACCGCTCCCTCCCTCCGTGAAACGAGGCCGCCAGCGCCAGCTGTGTCCTTGGGAAGGGGATGTGATGGAGGGCGGGCAGGCAGCCTGGGCCCCTGCAGAGTCCACACTGCCAACGGCAGGAAATGAGAGGGCTGGCTCGCTGCGGCTGAGGTGCCTGTGAACCCCATCCAGGGATCACGCGGCTGAGCGCCTGCTTAGCCTGAGGCACCAGGAGGCTGGAGGCTGGGAGGCTGGTCACAGCCAGCATGTCCACCGGCCTCCAAACCGTCTGCTTTCATTCCTACCACCCCGCTGGGGATTTTGCTGGAGGAACAGGCACAAGTCCCTCCTGAGTCCTTTGTTCCCAGCAGGCTTCAGGGGCCCCTTAAGGCCGGGTAGAGCTGCTCAGGTGCCAGTGACCGAGTGACCGTGACCGGCCTGGTTCCCCCTGGGCCAGGGCGAGCCCGGGCTGGTGCACAGCAGGGCTCAGTGTTGGTGACCAGCTGGAGCAGTGGAAGCAGCAGCCTTTCCGGAGGGCGGTGCCGAGCTGCACTGGGACTGCGCCCGGGGGGTTTTGCTCCAAGAGCTGCAGCATCCGGCTCCATGCACTCAGTCTGCCGGCTCCTCAAGATCTCCCCTCGAGGAGCAGGACACGGCGCAAAACAACAGCCCCGACCCGCTCCTAGCCACGGTGAAAGCCCACGGAGGACAGAGAAGCTCTTGAGGACATGCAGCCTCCTAATGGGAAGCTCTTGGGAGCAAGGCATGTGCCTGTCACCAAGTCCTGTCCCCCAGCCCTTGCTGGGAGGGACTGTCACAGGCCAGATGTAACTCAGGTTCCCAGGCACCCCCCGACCCCCCAACAAATGTTCCCTGAGAGACAGCCCGGACCCAGGGCAGACTTGGCATCTTGAGGGTGTGCCCTGTGCCACCAACAGGAATCTGCTTTTCTCCTCTGCAGCGCCCGACACAGCCACCCTGGAGCCCGGGGCAAGAGGCAAAGTGAGCACCCCATGCCCGCTTGTCAAGGTAGCCCCTTGTCTAGAACCCAGTCGGACAAGTTTGCAAGCTCCACAGATAAAACACATGGCCCTCCCTCTCTAAAGCCCCAGGCGCCCGCCTGCACCACTGTCAGCCCTCACGCGTGACTCCCCAGCACCCAGTCAGGCAGGGCGGGGAGAGGAATGCAGGCTTTACTTAAAGCTGGTGCCTTGTGGGTCAGGGGTTCTTGTTTTTGCATAATTGTGATTTTTAAAAGACTGTTTGAAAAAAATAAATGAGATAAGTAAAAAGACTTTGAAAATATTACCTCGATTACTGGAGTTTTGGGCGCTCCCATACATCTGCACCCAAGAAAGTTCCTCGCCGGCTCACCCAGCTCAGGCCAGCTCTCCGGACGCCAGAGATGAGCTGGTGGTTGGGCATCCCCTCGGGCGAACCCGCCATATTGATGGTGCCGGCCACTGCATGCCCGGCCCCCATCTCCACAGACTGCCTCTCCTCACGCCCACGCACCCCCGAGGGGGCAGTGTGTGCTCTGCTTTGCGGGTGAGGGGACAGGCTCACAGGAGCCCACCTGTCTCAGGGAGTCGGCACCAAAATGCGGGCCCAGGAAGTGGTCTGTGACCCCCAGCCCCGTGCTCCTGTTGCCCAGCCGCCGCTGGACAGTCACTTCACCAGGGCCCGGGACAGGA